CTTCGGCGGCACATTTTTTTGAATTTTTTTCCTTTTCAACGGCGTTTTTTGGGAATTTCGGATTTTTTTCGAATTTTTTCGCAATAATATTCTGAAAATAGATAAATTTTAACACATTTTGATGCAATAAAAAAATTGACCGGAGTCCCCCTTTAAAAAATTCACCTTAAATCGACCCCGTAAATCGACACCGATTGCGGGTCTCGCCGCGCTTGGGGTACTGTTGCACCCGTTTCAACTATACAAAGTAGAGATTTCCTCTTCACTTTGAACGCAGCATGATTATTTCGATAAAAAATTTTCCGAATATTTTTCGGAAAATTTTCCGACGGAAAAAAATTTCCGAAAAAAAATTCGGAAAATCGGAAAAATCGAGAACTCGATTTTCCGATTCCGACCAAGCCTGTTTTGTACGAATTTAAAGTTTGCTATTTTCACTAAGAATGTCAAAAAACGATACTTTTTTTAAAAGATAATTTTTGTTTTGCTTATTACCAAACAAAAAAAAAACCAATCTAATTGATCCAGGACCCCTCGCGATTCAAAAAACATTTTTAATGAAAATTTTCAGCGCCTAGCTCTCCAGAAGCCTCAAATCCCAACAAACGTCCAGCCTACTCTTACAATGCTCTCATTGCAATGGCCATCCAGAATAGTCCATTTAAAGCACTCAGATTGTCTGAAATTTACGCCTATATCTCCAACAATTTCCCATATTATAAAATGGAAAATGGTGGATGGCAGAACTCTATTCGTCATAATTTGTCGCTTCGAGAGGAGTTCTACAAGGTTCAGACGACGGATGGAAAAGGTGAGCAATGGAGTCCAATTTTTTTCAAATGCACGTGTTTTCAGGAAGTTTCTGGGCAATGAACACTCAGTTAGGATCCGACGTGTACATTGGAAAAGATTGTGGAAGTCTCCGTCGAAAGAAAAATGGAAAACCTCGAAAATATTCGAAGCGGTCCAATACAGTTAGCAATCCGAATCCTATTCCCCAAATTCCAAGTTTCACTCCCTCTCCTCTTTTGGCCACTCCCTTCCCATTGTTCCTCTACATATCCCAAGCTTATGCTCAAAATCCGAATCTTCTTCCAATGATGCTCCAAAATTTCCAACACTTTAACTTCCAGAACATCCCAGCTCTTTCATTTCCATTCCCATTTTCGAATTCGAACGGAAATCCGAATTCCAGAAATTGAACTTCTTCCGTTATTGAAAATCATCGTTTTTACTGTTTTGGCTAGTTGATTTCTGTTAATAATTTTTTGTTTTTGCTACATATACGTTTGATGGAACAGTAAAAAAGTATTTAACTCCATGGGACAGATATCTGGACGTACCGTCCAACTAACAGGCGGAGACATTGTGATGGGTATTCAGAAATTCAAGAAAATACTGATTTTCGATTTTTATCATACCCAAAAATTTCTTTATTAATGTCCTTGGGTTTTCAGTTTTTAATCATTTTTATGATTTATTATAACCCAGATTCAGTAATTTAAACTTCATTTTTATCTAAAAAGTGACAAGTTTTTAACGAAAACGAAAATGCAATGTGCCGAACTTTGAAATGTCTCTGAACTTCTGTCATATTGTGGAAACTCTGTCCACAGCCTTTGTAGAAATCCGTTTGAACATGGTGAGCCAACTCGTTCCCTGCTTTCCCGTAGCATAATCATCAGACGCGGATCTATGTCGAAATCCTTTGTTTCACGACTTTCTTTCTTGGCGCACAGCCGATCTTCCCAGTAATCGAAATATCGGTTTTGAAATTCGAGGGATTCTACGCAGCACTGAAATGATGAACATGAAATGGGAGCGCAATTTAAGAAAAAGCTTACCCGCTTCATGACCATATCCCTTGATGACCATACCCGGTTTCACAAACTCAAAACCTCGAGCAAATTTTCTGCAATTTTTGAACAATTATGAAAAGAATTTACAAATTCGTACATTCTAAAATCTCAACTCTATGAACTTCGGCACTTGAAAATAGGAAAAAAAAGAACTCGCCTTTAAAATTCGAACTTTTACAAAAGTATAAAAATATTGAGAGTAAATAGGTATCAAAATAATTTCAGAAAAATAAGGGAACTTTCCAGAATCCATTCATTGATAGGATTTTCTGGAAAGTTCCCGAGAACACTTAGACGTCCATTCATTTAGGTCGTCGTGGAGAAAACTGAGCTAGGTGTGTGTACTAATGAGCTACTAGGGGACGAATCGATTTTTGCAGCTGCGTCTCTCACGTTCTTGTGCTCTCTCCGCTGTCCTCTGTGTCCGTCCTCTGTGTCCACCACCGTCATCCCTTAATATATACGCACACACATACACACACACACACACACACACACGGAAAGACTAAGTTGGTTATATACGAGCAGGCAATGGCAACGACCTCAAATTGCCCTCAACGGAGAGGTTGAGGGAAAATAGAGACAGTGGAAAAATCTTGAAATCCCTTGAAATCTCCAAATATCTCCAAAGAAAATCTCCAAAGAAATCTCCAAAAATCTCCAAATCTCCAAAATCTCCCTTGAAATCTCCAAATCATAATTTTGTTGTAATTTTGAAATTCTGGAGCTTCAGAAAACGGTGTATTGGCGTTAGAACAAGTATGAAACAACAGACGACAAAATACATTTATAAAATTTTTAAAAACTCACATTATTAGGGTACTCCTGATTCTTCAGATTTTTTTTCATTCAACCTTTAGATTGATTCCCGAAACCCATTTCCCCTAAATTCACTTTTTTTTGCGAAACATGAAAAACTAATTTTTTGAAACCCAACCCATTCAAAAATTCCAGGTGTTCAATCCCCCACATCCGTTTGAAACGGGACCACTCACATTTAGCATTATGATAATCAAATTGTGATAATTATTTTTTCCTCAGAATTCACCATAACAAATAGGCCAAACAAACCAAAGCCATCCAGAGCAAGGTGAGTTTTTTTCTTTTTTTTGTGGAGTATTCGGAGGCTGTTTATCAAACTAAAATAAAATTTAAATATCTAATGTTCTGCTTGTAATAGGAAATTTATATCGAAAATTCGTAAAAAAAATACTTATTATCATGAATTTCAATAAATTGACATCGAAAAAAAGTATGATTAGACTGAAAATAAAATTCAGAAATCAGTGTTCCGTTTTCAAATTGATCCCAAATTTTGAATCTGCGCTATCTTTTCATGTTGAAACTGTAAAAAAGGATTTTCCCATTTCCTCCAAAATCTATTTTGATAAACTTTGCTGATTCAATTAGTTTTCATAATTCTTGAGAGCAATTTTCAAATACTTTAGTACCATACTTGCAACGGCCCGGCCCGGCCCGTCTCGGCCCGGGTTTTCGGAAAAAAATATTTTCCTGTCTTTTCAAAAATTTTTTCGGGCTCAACAGAATATAAATTTTCTGTCAGGTAAAACAATTTTCAAGATAAAAGTGTCTATAAAAAATAACTATTTTCACAAAAAAATTGAAAAAATTTCTGAAATTTCAATTTTTTTCAAATTTGAAAAAAACAGGCCCGCTGGGATTTGCGAAAAAAAAGATTTAAAAAAAAGATTTGCGAATAGACAAATTTACTAATAGTAAAACTCGAAACCTGCTAGAAGGAAATGAAGAAAATATGAAACACACTTTTTTTGGAATCCCAAAAAAGGGGATTCCCGTTTCAGAATTTTGTGAAGTTTTTGTCTATCAATTAGGATCCGAAGTGTACATTGGGAAAGAGTGCGGAAGTTTCCGTCAAAAGAAAAATGAGAAACGAATGTATTCCAAGCGTTCCAATACAATGACGAATCCGAATCCACTTCCCCAGATTCCAAATTTCACCCCTTCTCCCCTTTTGCCCACTCTCTTCCCATGCCTATCCCAAGCTTATGCTCAGAATCGTATTCTCATTTCAATGATGCTCTTCTATTTCCATTCCCATTGAATATTGCCTCGAGTTTGAACGGAAATCAGAATTCCAAAAATTGAAAATTTCCCGTTGTTGAAAATTATCGTTTTTACTGTTTTGGCTAGTTGGTTTTTGTTAATGAATGTTTTATTTCTGCCCAATTGTCGGCGAAAACCGTGACAAATTTAACTCCTTAGAACAGACATCTGGACGTCGAAAGTTCAAACACAGAGAGTTCAAGCACCACTTTTCGTCGGATCTTTTAAAAGTCGATGAAAAATTACAGTTTCAGAAAACCAAAAATTGTTTATAGATAGTCTTCAAAATGGATTATTACATAGCATTCTGTTTCTAAAACTGCACGCTCTCCCACAAAACATTTCCGAACTGCAAATTAATTTTTGATCTACAGAAAAAAAGTTTGGCGCGATCACAATTGCAGGTCTAAAAACATAATTTCAGAATTTTTTATCTGATTTTGTGGAGTTCCAAGATGATTCAAATGATTTTTAAAAAATTAATTATTGGTTATAGATTCATGTATGGTCGTTTTCCGGAAGAAAAAATGTCAAAAATGGTCATTTTTTGAAAGTTTTTTACAGAAAAAATCTATCTCCTCTTTCAGTTTTTGACATTTTCAAAGAGTCTATAGCTCAAAAAAACCCCAATATTNTCTCTACATTTTCTATAAATGAATTTTTAAATTTGTCTGATAAAACTTTTTTATAATCAAAAAATTGCACAAAATCGCATGTCTGCGTTGTTTTTTGATTATAAAAAAAGTTTTATCAGACGTATTAAAAATTCGTCCATAGAAAATGTAGAGAAAATAATTGCGGTTTTTTTGAGCTATATAACTCCTAGAAATGTCAAAAACTGAAAGAGGAGATAGATTTTTCTGTAAAAAACTTTCAAAAATGACAATTTTTGTCATTTTTTCTACCGGAAAAGGACCATACATGAATCTATCTTGGAACTCCACAAAAATCAGATAAAAAAATCTGAAACTATGTTTTTACACCTGCAATTGTGATCGCGCCAAACTTTTATTCTGTAGATCAAAAATTAATTTGCAGTTCGGAAATGTTCTGTGGGAGAGCGTGAATTGGAAAAATTCGGATAACAATGAAACAAAATCTTTGAAATTTCAATGCCAAACTATTTCGACCAAAAAATTTAATTTAAAGAATTCCAAACATTCAGATTAAAACGTTTTAATACCTAAATTGAAATAGTATCGTTTTCTAACAAAAATATATGAGCAATTGAGAAAAATCGCTATATTTTTTACAGTTTTTTGATTCTCACTTTATGTGAAAAACTTTTCTGATTGGATTACTGACAAATAGTGTGACCCAAAATTTTTAAAAATTCAAGTTCAATATGAACACATTTTGAAATATGCAATTAAACGCATTGAAATTCAACCAAAAGTGTCAAACTAATAACACAGAAACTGAGAAACACAAAGTATTGAACAATTCTACTATTTTCCCTCCATATCTTAATGATGCTTTCTCAAATGTACAAAAAATTGGAACCCAATTTATAATTTGTGCTTCATGATTCTCAAAACGTGTATCCACACATGGAGTATTTTTGGGAATTCCAATGTTTCACATAACCTACGCAAACTGTTTAAAACAGTTTCGTAAGTTGATATCAATATTTTGAACAAAAATAATTTTTCAGGGTTACGGTATGCCATCGCGCCGAGAAGGGGGCGTGGCCTATGGGTACCATGGTGAAAAGTCTTAAAGTAGCCCCTATACCCATCAAATAAAACATCAGACTCCTAGGACCATTTTGATTTTTTCCATTGCCACGGTGTTTTCGAGTTTCTCAGAGATTGTGTCTTAACATATGAAATGTTTCTAATATCAAGAAAAACAGTCTTGCTTTTTATAATTTTCTGATAATATTTACAAGAACCGTGATATGTTGGGTCAAAGCTGACAGTTTAGGAGAAATTATGGGTCTCCAGAAATTCAGAAAAATCGTAACTTTCGATTTTTATGATTCCCAAAAAATTCTTCCTTGAAGATTTTGAGTTTTCGCTTTTTTAATCTGAAATTCACTTGCCTTCATCCCTGTGATCTTGACACTATACTGCTCCACATAAATATACGTTCACTCATGAAAAATGGCGAAAATCTCAAATTTGCAATTTCCAAAAAATATCGACCTAAAATTGAAGTTTTTTTTTTATTCGGATTACGACAACTTTCCTAAATGTTCAGCACAGTTTCAGATTATCTTTTGTGACAAGAAAAATATCAACTGTGATGGTCCGAACGGCTACAACTCTTATTGACATGATTTGAGAAAAGATAAACTTTGATTTTCGAGACGCAATGTCAGAGGAGGTAAATGCGAGCCAACTCCAGACGTTTTTGGGGATGGATTGATGTCAGCATAAGTGCTTCTTTCATCTTTTGATAATGGATGAACTTGCTTTTCCGGATGACACGTCAAACTGTCTCATTCGATACAGTAAGCTTCAAACGACTCTTGATTTCGGAACAACTGGTCACAACATTGAGCGCTTTTCATAGGATTTGACTTTTCTCTCGGACTGTAAGGAGAGAATGACTTCCGGAAAAGTTCTTTGTACCGTAACTTAACGAATTCTTGACAAATCGATTGACCACGTCTGAGGATCTCCCTTTATTCTGAGCAATCTGACAGTTTGAAAAGTTTTGGGCATTTTTGGCTGTAATTTGACCTTTTTTGAAACCAGTTAGTGGTTTTTTACGTCACATCGTTTGAACAGTCGAAGGGAAACCGAAAAGTTTAAAATTTAAGAGTATGGTGCTGAAACATGGGAAAAAATGGGGGTGAACGTATCTTTATGTGGAACCGCAAAAGTCAAAAAATTGAAAAATGAATATAAAAATATTGCTCATTCTCATTTGGGATTCGCTCTTGGTCCCAAAAGTCTTTCATATCGTACTCTTTCAAACCCCGTTTGATCATTTTCTTTTCCCGGTTCCCATCACTCTTTATTTATCTTCAAATCTTCGAATAAACGAATATATATATATATAATTCAAAGTTGAAAATTATCTGGAAAAACTGACAAGTTTTTAACGAAAGCGAAAATACCAGTAAATGGAGGGGGGCGGGTCTTTTTTTGGTTATTGAACTTCATTTTTCCCTATTTTCCAATCGCTGAAAAAAAATTGGAAAAAAAGCAAGTCTGGAAGCACTGACATGGTATCGTAGACGACAATTGCCAAACAACCCTTATCAATTATTCAAAAGTTGTGAAACATTTAAAAATGTGATGAAAAAAAAGTTATGTTTCACATGCATCAGAAATTGGCGAAATTCAGTTGAAATTCAGTTGAAATGTTACAGTGGCCACAAACCGCCTAGCAGAAATGCATACTCTGACCCTCACAATTTTTTCTTCCCTCTGATTCACACATCTAACTATATATTTCTGAGAGTCCATACGCAATCTGTGCCTTCCCCAAAACATACTACTAATAATAATTCAATTTGTGCTCTTTCTCCCCGGGAGAGAGCATTTTGCTCGTCTTCTTCTTCGTCACCCCTTCTTCTGATTACGGCGTCCTCTGCCTCCTCCTCCTTCTCATCAAATTATGCTGCTTCTACTGACATTGTCATGATTTTCTTCCCTGAATATCATATAACAACGCGCTCACCAAGTTTTGTATATTTTTTCAGTGTTTTGAAAAGTTTTTAAAAATTTAGGCTGCGAAAAACGATGAGTCACCACTTTCAACTCAAAAAATTATTAGTTTCCAATAAACGTGAAACATTATTTTCTGAAAAAAAATAGAAGATGTTCTCATAAATTTATGATTCAAAGTTGTGCCAAATTTCGGGAATTTATCGAGCAAGCTGGTTTCACCAGAGCTTGATACATTATTAATAGAAAAAATAGACAATTCCAAGTGTGGAGCACTAATACCCAATGGGTTTTTTTCAATTAGTGAAGCTTCTTGACTTGTTTTTTCTTTTTTTCCGGGGTTTTTAATGATTGAATGATTGGTTTATTTGTCTTCAACAAGAGATATTTCAAAAAAAAAATAATTTTTTGAACAAATTGTTTTGAGTGATCCAAAGTTTCGAAAATTCCCGTTTCTGATTTTTGTGAATTTCGGAACAAAATTTGTTGATTGATAAAATATTTGTTGAAATTGATTCTTTGAATTCCCGCCAAAGCTGAATTATCTAGGTCAAAACTAGGAAAATTGTTTGGATTGAAGTCTCCAAAGTTTCAATTTATACGCGAATTCGAATTTCAGCGTTTCTAAAATTCCAGAATTTAAAAAAACGATTGCTTAATGTGAAGAAATGAGCATTTGCAAAGCAATCAGAACCGATTTTTGAAAAAATACAGGAACTACGAAACGGAAAAAAACTGTCCACAATTGAATTGTAATTGTTCAATAAGCGATTTTTGAAATTTTCAAATTTCAATTTACTCGGGCGTCGCCGGCAACTTCTGGCCGGAGGCTGGTCGGCTTCAGGACGGAACTTGGTCAGATTCCGGCAAAGACATTGAGGGAAGCCGACCAAGATCCGACAAACTACCGGCCAACTTCCGACCTCCTAACAGCAGGGGCCGATTCGGTTCGCATTTATTGATGTTTTTATAGAGAAACAGCGCATTATGTTCAACTTTATTTATTAGAAAAAAGAATTATACATGAAAATGAACAAAATTAGGGAAAAATACAGAAAAATAAGAAAACCATGATTTAGATTTTTAAATTTTGAAGATGTCGCTGTGAATCGTGACGAATATGAGAGAAGAGGCGCTGCCTGAAATGTGAATAAAATTAGATATTAATTCAGAAAATAGGAATTTACCTGATTAACTTTCTTGTCTTTCTTCGAATTTTCTGGCATCCAGTTGTTTTTTTTTTGATTTCTGGAAACAAAACTTCCAAAAATACAGTTTTTTTCAAAAAAAAATTACTTTCTAGTTGCGATATCTCCCAAGCACTTGACATTAAAAATGTTGACTTAAATTTTATTTTATCTGAAAAATTTGAATTATGACAAGAATTCAAAGAATAAATTACTTGATAAGTTTCGTACTCTTTTTTCGAGAACATCGTCTGTTATTGTCTCCGAAGTACTTGTCTGAAAAAAATGCTCCAAAAATTGAAAGGATGCAACTTTAAAACAAAGTTTTTAGGGAAACGGCAGGAAAAATAGTTTAGAAAACAAATTCAAAATGAGTGAAGCACGCGCCGCATAAGACGCAGCGCCTTCAAATTCCGGCCAAAATCCGATCATTGCTGCGGTGGGCAGCTTCTGACCAAAAGCTTACCAAGACCCGTCCAAAAGCCGAACCCCTCAACTTCCGGCCAGAAGTTGCAAGCCGACAGCCGAGTAGTAAAAACATCGTTTTGAAAATATCCGATTTTTAAAACAATTTCTGGAAAGATGTGACTGGAAATGTTAATATGTTTGTCTCTCAACTTTTTGCTTTTGTTCATTTCAAATTTAGATTTTACACTTTAAAGGTGGGGGGACAGGAGATTTTTCGTAGTTTTTTTGTAGCTAGAGTATGCATTCTACCGTCACGGTGTACAAAACTTAATGTCACTCTGCGTACAGCTGTCGTCCTCGCCTTTATGTATGCAATCGGGCGGCCGCTTTCTCTTTGCCCGTGTAGCTCAGTCGGTTGCGGCGCCGCTACTCTGGCCCCAAAAATCCCTCGTAAAATCTCCTGTCCCCCCACCTTTAAAGAAAAAAATTTCATTGAAGCTTCAAAATTTTTGGATGGTTATGTAGAAAACATGAAACGCAGTTTTTTTTCAATTTAAAGGTACAAGATTTTCCGCTTCAGATTTTTCTGATTGATTATGTCAAATCAATCTGATTCGATCTATGCAGAAATTATTGAAAATATGAAACGGAAAAAACTGTGTTTCAAAATATCCAAATCTTTTTTAAAAGGTTTGTAGGCTGATCAAACCAAATGTAACTTACGAAAACCAATAGCACGATTGATATAACAATGTCACAGTATGATAGTCGCAAAGACTGGAACCTTCCAGAAAGTTACGGGTTATTCGTTAAAAATTCCTTTGAAATTAAGAAACTTTGGATTATTTTGGACAATTTTGGAATTGAGGTCGGGGAAAGTCCTTTTTTTTGAAGATTGGTCTGCAATAATTCAATTTAGTAGCTAATAAAATATCATAAATTAGAAACAGTATTTTGTTAGATAAGCAAAAGTTCCGAAAAATGATATTTCGACATTTGAAAAATAGCAGAAATGCATTGAAATTTGAAAACAAAAACCTTGAAGGAAATAATGAAATATCAAAGAAAATCGGGAAAAATACAGAAAATGCGACATGGAAAAATTTTGTTTCAAAATATCCAAAAAATTTTGAAATTAAGATTTTATGGTACATAAGGAAAACCCACAATTGAAAAATTTAATGCTCATTCTTCGTTTTAATTCCAAACTTGTTTTCACACATTTCCAAGAAATCGCTGAAGTTCTAAGACTGTTAGATGGGAATATAGAAAATCCGAAACACACACTTTTTTTAAATTCAGTTAAAAAATTTCTGTTTCACATTTTTGTGAATTTTGTAACAGAATGTCTAGATGTTACACTGTAAGCCTTATCAGTTTCTCTCTCACAAAAGAGTACCCGTTGAGAAATGATAGTAGAGTACCTCCAGTGGAAGATTATGGGAGTTTTCTCCCCCTCTCTCTCTCTCTCCCTTTCTCCACCTCTTCAACCTAAAAATTCTTTCAATCTATATCTCTGTGTAGTTGTAGTACACTTCAAAAGAAATGTCGCGTCAAATGCCAAAAATTCCTTGGCTCTCGTCCTCCTTGAAAAAAAACGAAATTTTGCATATGCTGCTCTTTTCCATCTCCTTTTTGTGTGCTTTGTTCACAAATATGTGTCTACTACCATCCATATCCATATGTGTCCAAAAACTCTTTTTTCGTGTCCCCATCTCCAAATTCTCCATGTTTCACATGCTGATAAAAATGTGAAAGATGAGCAAGAACACTTGGTCAACCCCCTGCTAGAGAATATGGTCCATTGGGAATTGAGAGGAAGGAGTCGAAGGGACATTGTGTGGGACATTCTTTGACTTTTCTTCATTCATTTGTTTCTGATTTTTTGATTTTGAAATTCGATAGGTTTCAGCTTAAAATATTGATCCTAGTTTAAGATCGTACCTAGAATAATTGCTGTTCTAAGCCGTCTAGATGACCTATTAAAAAATCATATGAGCAATACAAAGAAAAAAGTTTAGGGTCCCAGAAAAGTAGTTACGAACGTTCGATTTATCTGAAAGTGTACGTCTGAAAACCGTAATTTCAGGTCCAGCAGTCTATTTTTTTCAAATTGGTCTCTGATATTAGACAACCCAGACATTGGAAATACCAAATTGGCTCAACCCCATTTTTAGCATTTTCGACTTATTTTGGGCGTTTCCGGTTTTCTCTCATTAAGTTTGCTCAATGAGCACTAAATTTAGATTTTTTCTAGTTTTTTTTTTCTGCTACCCATTCAGCTTCAAGTTCGAACTGTTACCATTTTTTCTTAATTTTCAGTTAAAAGTCGATTTTCAAAATAGTTCAGCAATTCTCATAATTATTTCAAGTTTATCCAATCATGTCATTCTAGTAGCAACGGAAAATTGCGACTATAATTAAGAAATTGAATTTGCGGAATTTTGGCATGAAATTCACAAGAATGTGAAACGGAAACTTTCGAAATTGTGAACATTTGAAAAAGTGTGTTTCAGGTTTGTTATTTTTTCATCTAAACATTTCAGGACTTCGGTAAACTAAATAGAATATTTGAATTTTCGAATTGAAACGAGGAATGAACATAAGGAAGTTTCAAATTTACAATTTATTTTTTGATAATTAGGAAATTCTGGTACTTCAGGAAACGGTCCTTGAAATTAGAAAAAAAAGAAAGCGCAGAACAACAGGGGTCATGTTTTAAAGTTGGGGGGATAGGAGATTTTTAGTAGGATTTTTGTAGCCAGGGTATGCATTCTACCGTAACGGTGTACAACGCTTAATGACACTCTGCGTACAGCTGTCGTCCTCACCCTTATGTTTACCACCAGGCGCCCGCTCCTCCTTTTCCCCTGTGGTTCAGTCGGTAGCGGTGCCGCACCTTCAATACTCCCCTCGACAAGCTCAACTCCTCGAGGGCACATTTTAATGGAATTTCTAGAACATTTTTTTTTCATGCCCCCTCCCCCTTTTTTTTAATGTAAAATCTCATATTTGTAGCGTTATTTCCAACATTAATAGGACTGGATAAAATCATTCATGACAACAATTCTCTCTTTTTTATAAATATTCTTGTCAAAACTCAGTACCGAAAAGAATTCTAGACATTTCCTAGGAAAAATTTAACTTTCAGACCCACAAACCTTCTGAAATACTTAGAAGTTTGACAAATGATCGTATAACGAATTTTTTACCATTTCACAATTTTCCTAAAATTTTTAAAGCTATTTGTTATTACTAATTTAGAGGTTGGTTGTGCGAACCTGTCATTCATTCTATCAAAAATGTTGTTTCCTCTTTAATTCCACTAGAAAACAAAACGAATCATTTTCACTGGGATTCTGTTTTTTTTTCTTTGTCTCCTCCTCTTTTTTCTTCGTTTCCATCGTCCAATTTGTCAAATGTTCGCAACTCAAAACACTATTTCGTTTAAGAATAAGAAATGAGTAAAACGAAGGAAAAGGACGGGGAAGAGAAATAGAAAGAAATTCCTTCAACCTCTTCGTTTTGTTCAAATCTGTACACAACAGATGTTTTTTTCTAAATTTCCCGTTTCATCGTTGTTTTACAAAGTTATCAAATTCATATTGAATTTAATCAGTCGAAATTCTCAGAATCTCCTAAAACTTTGAAAAGCTTTACCATAATTTTGAGCGACTTTTTTTAAAGTCCAATTTTTTTTTCATTTTGTCCGGTACTTCTGATTTCCATGACTTTCGAAATTTACCCATCGAAAAACTCCCGATCCCATTTATATGTAAATTCAGAATTTTTGCGAAACAGGAAAATTTTTTTTTTGAAACCCAACCCATTCAAAAATTCCAGGTATTCAATCCCCCACACATCCGTTTGAAACGGGACCCTCTACCTTTGGCAATATGATATCCGAATTGTGATTCTTCTTTCATTTTTCTTCTTGGAATTCAAAAGGTCAAACACACCGACGCCATCCGGAGAGGATTCTGGAACAAGGTGAGTTTTTTTTCAGTTGTTTTTTTCTCGAAAAAAGTGTAATGGAGTTTATTTAGAGTCTGAATGTAAAACTAGAGTAAATATTGTAAACTTAATGTTCCGCTTGAAACATAATTTTTTGTTAAAATCAGAAAAAAATAGTAGTGACCAGAATAAATTTCACTGATTGACTATCTCAGTGAGTCTGTTTTATTAATTTTTTTATAAAAGTACACAAACTATAAACTATTAGAATAAATTTCCTTCAATTGTTCGTATTGACTTTTTCAATGAACCTTTGTTTTAATACAAAAATTAGTAGAATAGCACTCACATGGTAATGAAAAAGTCGAGCTGTAAATCAAAAAGATGGGAAAATTGTTTTGAAGTTATATTAGCAATCATATTGATCTACATTCTTGGATTCTCGCTTTGTTGTCATATTGAAATTGTGAAAATATGCTGGTCCTAGTTTCTCCAAATTATTTTTTAAAAATAGGCTTCTCTGGTTCAGTTAGTTTTCATAATTATTCACAATGACAGAATTTATATACCTTTTCTAGGAAAATGTTGGAAATTGAAGTATTCACAAAATAATCAGAATGGATTTTCAAAATTGTTAAAATGAAATCTAGAAAATGTGAAACACTGTGTTTTTTTAAAATTTTTTTGCGTTCCAGCCAAAGTAAAAGAAAACTTTTCTAGGTATTTTTTTCCTAAAAGTTTTTTACATAAACTATTGTGTTTTATTCATAAAATAATTTTTTGTGGAAATCAGAATCTACTAGCTCAGGAAATAATGTTCCGTATACTTTTTTCAATGGTCCCCATTTTCTCCAAATAACTTTTTTTGAAATATACTTTTCTGTTTCAGTTACTTTTCTTGATTCTTGAGAACAATTTTCAAACACTTTTCTTTTTATTTTGATCTGCATAATTCTGTTAATCCCATTTTTGTTTAGCCATACTGAGATTCTACGGTGTTTAAAGTTTAAAAAGTGCAATTACTAGTGTTTCCGGAATTTCAGTATTTCTCACAATTCCTAGAACATCTATCAACATTTTTTTTTCATTCAAATGTGCAGCTTATGATTATGACCTAGTATTTAAATGTTAAGTTTGAACCAAATTAACATTTAAATACTAGGTCATAATCAGAGAAACTGAATTCATACATTAACATGTTTTAACTTTTCGAAATACTTGATTTAACAATTTCAATAATACTCATCGAACTCATCGAAATAATAATACTCATCGAAATACGACTTGTAAGCGAAACTGGAAAATTTTAAGTTTTTTCGAAAGGTAATATTTCTCTGTATCAACATTGTCACTTCTTCAAAACCAAAATAACCACCTCGGTACCGCGATAGGTCCATACTACTCAAACTTGAAATATTAAAATTCTCAGCTTAACATTATCCACATTTCCATATATTAGGTTGGTAAAAAAGTTTCTTCCTTTTTGGGAGGGTTCTTTCTGAGCTTCGGTTTCTAGTTATCAAAGTGGCGTACCAGGCCAGATTTTTTTTTGCTGGAGAGCTGTGTTCAGTGTCTATTAGATCCTTGATTTTCTAATTTTTATCTCACTTCGTGTTGGAGAAATGACGATTCTTTTGGTCCATATCCCAATGTACATAAGCAACATGCCTATACTTTTATTTTTATTTGGTCTTCAAAAACCCGTTATTCACAAGCAATTGGTGAAGTTATATAAGGGACGTGTTCGGTCATCGCCTACAGTTTGCCTTTGGTTCAAAAAATTTCGCATATGGGAGAACCGGTTAAAAGATGCCAACGGCCCAGTGAGTTGGATCTCGATCAATTGCTAAAAGTCATGAAGTCGCATTCACTTCAAACAACTTGTAAAATCTCAAAGGCATTGTCGGTTAGCCAACTAAGTGTTGTGAACAGATTGAAGTATTTTGGCAACTTCAAGAACTGGATCGATTCTTACCCCATGCTTTGAAGGACTACGATATGGCTTTGAAGGACTACGATATTCCAAGTGGACATGAGCATGTTTCTCCTATCATTCCTTCGCACGTTCAGTTAGGTGGGGGATCTAATTACCGTAGATGATAAATGGGTAAGTTACTCTATTAATGTGTGGAAAGGTCAGTTGATTGCCAAAGAACAGCTAGCTCTGGACGTCTCGAAACCTAAATTTTACGTGAAAACGGGGATGCTATGTATTTGGTGGTTTTTCAATGGGATGGAGTCTGGGAACTTTTAGATGAAGGTACCACTATAACTGCCGCATTGTATAGTTTCTAATTGGAGAAGTTGAATTTGACAGCCGAATCAAAACGAGGGGAAAAAACGAAAGTCCGCTTCCAGCGCGACAATGCGAGACCACCTGTGACTAGAGGAAGGCTCTTGAACGTCATCTTCATAGAAAATACTTCAATTGAAAAGTTGACACAAAAAAAGGAGTTGACCCACATTTTCAATCGCAGCTCTCGTCGTTCAGGTCCGATGTCATCAAGAAATTACCAGAGCGTTACCAGACAACTCACAATGCTCATGGACGTTACTTTCATTGATCTTGCCCCCTCTGCTTTTAGGAAAATCTGATCAAAAATTTTGCCAAAAAAGGAAGAAACTTTCTTACCAACCTAATAGTTTAACCAACCAGAAAAGGAGGCTAGAAAAAAACAAAGCAGCCCAACCCTTTTTATTGTTTTTTTTTTCTTTCCAAAAGCAACATGTTCTCTTTCTTGTTCTTCTCATAATATGCCCCCGGGTGAGAAAAATATGAAAATGGCTGGAACAAGAAAAAAGAGAACGAAAAAAAAGCCGCGCCTCCTTTTTACACCAAAAGCGGCAGTTTTGATATAGAAGTTTCTGGAAACTTTCAGCTTCTTCTTCCCCTATGGACCCTTTTTTCTTCTTTATCTTTTCTTTTTTTCTTCGAGTTAGGGGTAGGGAGGTCATGAGTAGATATATTGTAACAGGAAACAAATGGAGCAAGAAAAATGAAATTTCCTGTAGGATCCTTTTTTCTGTTGACATTGTTTCGATTTCATTTTGAAGAAGAAGTCACATGGGATGACATCGTCACAGAATTTTTTTTGGATTACTGTAGTTTTTGTTGAAAAAGTTACAACATAAACTTTTTCTCTTTCAGTTATAGCAGAAAACAGTGAAAAAAGAAAAGCAATATTGTTACAAAAATCAACGGAAAAACCAGATTTTTATACATATTTTTAGAATGTTTTTAGAATTTCCGTTAAATTTTTCTCTGTTTCAATTGGAGCAGAATGAAGAACGTTTTAACTGATTTATCGATATTTGTAGGTTTTTCTTTAGTTTATCACTATTAGAAATTCAAATTTTTATTCTGTGAAAATTTCAATCAAAGTAACCACTAAATATAAAAAAGAGTTCTAGGAACTTCCAGAAATAAATTACTCTGGTCTTTATGATACGAAATGATTTTCTTTTTGAAATTAAAACCAATGTTTTTTTTTTTCTGTTTAAGTTGTAGCAGAATTGAAATTACAGTTTTGTTAACTGATGACGTGGCGTTTTTGACGATATCCTGAAAAATATACAAATTTTCAGGGAATTTTATTAATGAAATTTCCAATTTTGTAATATAGAAAACTTGTGTGAAACAGATTTTTTAACTTGAAGTTCTTCATTTTTGAAATTGATTTATTTTTTGAAATTCCACCCAAAAATAACATTGACTGAATTTCGGAATCTCCATTTTTCTATAGAAACTGCAAATCTTGGCGATTTCCAGGAGTGATAAATTTAGGAAAACATTGAAAAAACATAATATTCCGACTGGAATTTATAGCTTATCGTCAGTTTGATCGGTTTCAACAGTTTTGCTCGCAATAAAATAGTTATTTGAAACTGCACTCTTTTTCTGTGTTTTTCGAAAAAAAAAAGTTAAATATTATTCATGAAGCTGTTTAGAAAACTTCTGTGCCCCTCTTTAAAATTTTCTAAATTCCTGAAAAAGATCATTGTTTTATTTTTTATCACTGTTTCAAAGTGTTGATAAGAGTAGTGGTCCAAGCTACTGTTTGGCTTGCAGGAAAATTTTCTCCATGAAAATCGAAAGTCTAGAAATGTTTTCAGTACTAAATTTCAAACGAAAAAAAAATAAAATAAAGCTAGCTTCTTCAACTTTTTTGAGAGAATTCGAAAAAAAACTGTTTCACTGATTTCATAGATAACTGTTCCATTCACCGAAATCCAATTCTATGAGGGTTTTGAAATTTAAGAATGAGAACTTTATCGTAAGCTGTCTTCTGTTGTTATGTGCATACAGCAAAGCTCCGACCACAAAATAGTTCCCGATGCGGTTTTACAATCCAGAAACTGACAATTTTTTCAAAATTTATATATTTCGCGTTATCATTTTTTTTAAGTTTTTGACATTTTGATAAATTTTAAGAAATTTTATATTTAATTGGCCATGATCAAATTCTGGAACCTTTTTTCGCCTTTGTCAAAAATTTGTCTGTTTCGCGAAGTTTTAAAGGTAGGGGGACAGGAGATTTTTCGTAGGATTTTTGTAGCCAGAGTATGCCTTTTACCGTGGCGGTGTACAACGCTTAATGTCACTCTGCGTACAGCGGTCATCCTCGCCTTTATGTATGCATTTTGGTGCCGGCTGCCTCTTTGCCCGCGTGGCTCAGTCGGTAGCGGCGCCGCACCTTCAATACTTGTCTCGACAAGTTCAACTCCTCCAGGGGCATATTTAAACGGAATTTCGAGAACATTATATGAGGGATCCAATTAACCAGTTGCGCAATTTTTAAGCCTTTCATCTCATTTAGATGAAACTGTACAAAAAAAGTTGTCAACTACAAAATTGAAGTTCTATTTTGTGTAGTATACTCTGAAATTTTCAGACAAATCGAAAATTTTCTAAGTACTTTTGTAGGACTTCAAAGTTCATTATTTTATACGGAAAAAGATAACATTTGATTGTGAGATACTGTAGTTTTTAATGACACTATTTGGTCATTACTCGTGTTCGAAATGGACGTAGAGGCAAACAATCATCAAAATAGGCTCAAACAATACAGTAGTTCGCACTTGCACATTTCACAGGACCATCGTTTTCCATGTGCATTGATGGCCGAAGCCTACAGTAATAAAACTGTTAGAAAAAAGTCACACCTGTCACTAACAATATGACCTGCTTGCCATAATTTTACTGTTTAACTGGGTCATAAGAAATAACAAACTAACTTTCTCGTCACTGCAAGGTAAATCGAATTTCTCCCAGCGTATCTCTATTTACAAATTTGAAAATTCCGATTCTATACCACCACCCCCACTTTGCACCCACCAGCTCCGTGCAGAACCTCAAAACTTTCTATATTCGTCGTCAAATCTATAACATCCTCTCCTCTTCGTCTTCTCTGAATTCCTCTCTCTTCGTCACCAAAATCAAGAATAGAAGTCAATGAAGTCGGGCGGTCCCTCTCTCGTCCGTAACTCAATTCAATTCTTGCCTTCTGACCTTCCTCCTCCTCCTCCGACGTCTTCTTCTACTTCATTTTCCTCACCATACACTGTGTTCTTCTTTTATATTCTGAACAACGTCTTTTTTTTTCTTGTTCGTCTGAATCAGATTCTGAAACCTTCAGACGACGGATACTCAGAAGAAGGAGGAGGTGTGTACGCATCATGACACGATGGGTAAGGGAAAAACAACCACCTTTTTTTGGAATGTGGACAGAGATTTGTTGTCATTCTTTGAAGGTCCAAAAATAGGATTTAATGGTGTCAAAATCGTACCCGCTAAGTCAGCAGCCGACTTCTCGATCATATATTTCAAAATATCGTTGCAATACTGGCTTAACTAAATTCAGACTCCTATGAACGTGCTTAGTGAAACATAAATTTTTGATAATTCCGGTCTAACCTTTTTTGGCTTTCCTAGATTAATTTTTAAAACAATTGAATCAACTGGTATTCATATTGTAATACCTGTACTAGAAAGGTCACTAACGTCAACCCAATTTATCTTGCTTCTTGAACATTTTTCGTTGTTTCAAACTTTCCAGATATTTTGTAACCTAATCATTTTTTGATTCACCAATAATGGTCAAGAACTGAATAATCAAAAATTAGCAGATCCTGTTACTTCGAAAGTCATCTATTTTCATCACTTGAAAATCAAAAATTTCGGATTTCCTAAAAAATGCTATTGCAGCGCGTAGCAGAAGATGTGAGGTTTTCCAGTTTTTGTACACACATTCGGACTGCTAAAACACATCTAAATATGTTAACCATCAGACTCTGAACGGCTTTTCTAAAATCTCTTCCATAATAAACACAGAAAAAATTTCAATAATAGAATCCGGCGATATTTGCAAAAATCACTTCATTTGTTTAGTTTGTCTTTGAAGAGGCTGAAAGGTCAACGATTTTGAAAGAACTTCTAGCAATAGAGCGGGTTTGCATCTTCCCGTCTCTTAATTTGCTCTCTCTCGGCGCAGGTTTCAAATAGATTTTCAGCCGAAGCTCTCAAAAATCAAGCAAAATCTATTTACTACATTTTGTACGAATCCTTGTAATCTACAGAATTCAATTCTAAAAAAGTTCTTGTAATATTGAATAACTGAAACAGTTCCTGATAATCATGTCCCTTTAACCAACCATCAATTTTTCAGATGAGTCATCCCGGCTGGGTGATGGTCTCATTCCTCACCGAACTTTTATCTCAATCATCCAAAGGAATCGCCCAATCACTGGATAATTGTGCGAATGACACCGAAATTATCAATGCATTGCTCAAGGATAGCTATAATAAGGTACGGTGAACATGAGTGAAAAATTAATTATTTTTGGGTGGGAGGGAATTCAAATAGAGGTGTTGAAACAGGGAGTTTTCAAAGCTTTTTCGTTTCGAAGTTTGTTTTATTGAAAAAAAAACCGGCTGAAAGCCAATAATATTGAAAGAGGCGGAAACTCTTGAAGCTTTTGAAACGGAAAATAGTTTTTCCATTTAAAAACAGTTGAAAAGTTGATTTTCAGCACTACATCCCATCTCATCCCACACACGTCCGCGTCGATATGTGGGTCCAGGAAGTGACATCTGTTTCAGAACTAACACAAGATTTTGAAATTGGTAATGCATTACTTTTGTTACTTTTCATACAGTTATTTCCAGACCTCTACATCAACGAATTCTGGGAAGATCCGGCGCTTGTCTACGAGGATATGAATCCGTGTAAAAGGAATATCTCATTCGACGATAAGGTTTTGCAGAGGCTTTGGATTCCGAACACTTGTTTTATCAACTCGAAAAATGCAGCGATTCATGAGTCACCGTTTCGGTAAGGTATTAGCATAAAGGAGTAGAGATTTTGAAATCAAAAAAAAACAAGGAAATTTCCAGAAACGTCTTCCTAATGGTATTCTCGAATGGAACCCTTTGGACAAACTATCGAATGAAACTGACTGGTCCTTGTGATATGAAGTTGAAGAGATTTCCGTTTGATAAGCAGAAATGTTATCTCACTTTTGAGTCGTGAGTTATAGAAATTTCAAAAACCAAACAGAGCAATGTAGAGCTCGATGAGATCTGAAAAATTATACCTAATTCGGCGGAGCTAAGAAAATCAAAGTTCCCTTTAAAACTAAACAGTTTTCATTAATTTTGGACGCCGTTGAATGAAGTTATGCACTTTTAAAGCTGTTGTGAAGACGAATATTAAAGGT